TTTATCAGTTTGCTTATTCCCAGGCTTCAAACAGCTAAATAGGTTTTAAAATGACCCTTGTTTAATCCTGCTAATTGTGTCTAGTCTCTTTATTTAATGGTTGGTCAACAATCAGCTGTGGATCTCTCCAGTACTTTTAGAGCTACTACTAGCTTCTTGATTGCATACCTAACACCTTCCTTACCAGTCACATAATTTGGGGGAGATAAAGTTGTCATTTAACCATATTGTTTCTCTTTAAGTAATAATGGATTTAACTATGCCCTGGGGAATGTCCATAGTTTGGGCTATTGTTTTAGAATCCAACCCTGATTGCTCCTTCTGTGTAACCTTATTCATGATATGTTGTTTAATTATACTCTCAGACATATTCTGGGGCCTTCCAGAAACTGATGTGTTTAATATGAGATCGTGTGGCACTAGAATTGTATTCAGGTAGGGTCCATTTAACTATTTATGTGATTTATGGAAGCAGTGGGTTATACTAGAGCAGGGGTAGGCAACCTAAGGCCCGGGGGCCAGATGCGCCCCCCCGAAGCCTTTGGACTGGCCCCAGGCTGGTCCTGCCGCTGCTGCCACCGCCCGCCATAATGATATTGATTATTGTTGTTATTACTTGTTCTTGGGGTTTTCTAGGCAAAATCTCCACAGGGGTTTTGCCATGGCTTTTCTGGAGAGAGTGTGCATGCATATTTTTTTTTAATTTTTAAAATTTATTTATTTATTTTTGGTGTTTCAGCCCCCCAATTGTCTGAGGGACAGCAACCTGGCCCCCGGCTCAAAAAGGTTGCCTACCCCTGTACTAGAGCTTATTTAGATGTGTCACAGAAAAAGGTGAGAATACTTATGCAGTCAACAAGTGCCAGTTTTATTTTTGTTTGTTTAACTATTGTGTCATAATTAAAAAAGAAATTGCACTTTCACTGTGTTGAATATCTTGTGTATTTAAAGGGATAATAATGGCAACTAAAATAATTTCAATTCCAGATTGTACCAGAACAAAATGTTCTATACTTGACTAATGCTGATACATGTATTGGTCAGAGTTCTCTCCAATGAGCTTGTTTTGCTAGGTTGCTCTAGCTGTGCAAATGTCCACTTCTGCTTCTCCTGCTTTTAAAACAACTTATTAGAAATAACAAACTGCTCATGTGAACCATTTTTAACATTAGAAATAATTTAATTATACATAAAAAGTCAGACAGTGAAAAATAAGAGCTTCAAATACAACAAAGGACTAATTTCTAAATGAATATAGGTTCCAGAGAAGAAAGATGAATTTAAAAAGAAGTTTTCAATATACGCTGTTGGCATCGGGTCAGCTCGATTTCAGCTGCAGTATATGAGCCAGTACCTGCTGCGGGAAGAGAGAAATGACCCAGACCCCAGGGTGCAGCACTTTATACCAGATTCATGGCAGGTATTGTCATGTTTCAGAACTATGTTTTCTTGTAGCCTCCTTCACTTAAACCTTGGTCAAGAAATAAGGTGTTCCTGAATTCTGCAATTTTCTTGCATCTTCTGTTTGTTTGACAATAGCTTATTCATGGCTTCTGGCTTGACTTACCACATGCTTATGCTTCACAGTCAGAATCCCTATTTATGAGAGCATTCTTGAATGAGAACAGCAATTTACATATTAAGCTTTTTTGCTGAAAGTGATGATACTAACAGCCCTGCTCTCCTATAAGTCTCAATACTGTGGAAAGTTACTGTTCTAATCTATTCCTTTTTTAAAGTTCCCCACCATTTTTCCCAAACTGGGATTTGATGCAGCTTACAAGATAAAGTGGCCATGTTGGTTGGGAAATTCTGAGAACTGTAGTCCAAGAAAGTAACTTTTCCATACTCTGATAAGTCTCTTCCCATGATTCATACATGTAGTAGGATTTTAATGTGGTTCTTTGGAGGTTTAAAGTTTTACATGGCCTGGAACCAGAGAACACCCCTTTCCACATGACCACTTCTGTATGCCTAAGGCAGTCCTCAATGTTTATACCAGGTTGCCTTTTTTCAGGAAGTTAGAACCTTCACAATGATTGTCCCAATACAGTGGATTATATGTTATGTATGTGAAGATGCAAATGCATATGAACAGTGAATGATATCAAGATAATCTTCTGATACGTTAATGTTGTTATTATTTATCTGTAGAGAGAAATCTTTGACATTGTGGATAAAAATGAATCTGCTGTGATCATTGCTCCTACATCTTCAGGAAAATCAGAGGCCTCTTATTATTGCATTGAAAAATTTTTGAGGGATGGTGATGAAGGTGTAGTGGTGTATGTTGCACCTACACAGGTAGGACACAACTTAATAGTGGATATATTTAAAAAATAAGATTCTATTGTTCAAGCAACTTGTTATAACACATTAGTTCAGACTTGTTCAGAATCAAAATTCAAAGTCCTTTCTTAATTCATAGTTAAGGATGTATAAAATAAAAACTGAGCAAGCAACTAAATCAAGGTTTTTGAACTTGATTTACTTGTTCTTTCTCTCTTTTGTGTGTGTATCTATGACATAAAAGAGATCTCTGCAGTTTTAGGTCATTGTTTGTATAAGTTGAGTCTTATCCAGAATTCCAAAATCCAAAATATTCCAAAATTCAAAATTGTCCACTTGGGTGGCTGAGATAGTGCCTTCTGATGGTTCAATGTATCATGCACAAAAAGATTAAAAATATTGTGTATAAAATTATCTTCAGGCTATGTGTATAAGGTATATATGAAACATAAATGTACTGTATTTCATGTTTAGATTTGGGTCCCGTCTACACAATATCTCATATTTGCATATTTGTATATGCAAATGTTCCAAAATTCAAAAAACTCCAAAATCGAAAACAGTTCTGGTCACAAGCATTTTTATTAATAAAATATTGCAACAAAACATACATACACTTACCACACATACTCCACATACACATAGAAATATAACCTACAAAGACATATATAAACACCTACCTACAATGACCTATATATATATATATCACATACAGTATATATATATATATATAGCCCACACTACATACATCATAACATGAACAACAACTCTTCATACATCACTCTTCATTCATTTAGTGCTTAATTTTAACTCAAATAAGGAGGTTTGTCATTCCTTTCCCCTGAGGCTGAGAGCATGTTACTTGGCCAAGGTCATCCACTGAGTTTCATGGCTGAACTGTGAATCGAATCCTGGTCTCCAGATTCATAGTTTAACACTCAAACCACTCCGCCATTCTGGCTCACTGGTGATATGTTGAATACCACCCTTGAAACAAATGTGAATGTCACTGCAAACTTGCATTCTTTAATTATGCACATTTGATTTTTTGTGTCACATTACTTCATTTTTATTCAATTATTAGGCTATTATTAATCAAGTGAGGGCAACTATTCACAGTCGATTTAACAGCATATCTCCAGATGGCCAGTTCCTATGCGGGGTTCTCACACAAGGTTATCAGCATGTAGTTCTGGATTGTAAGGTATGGGATGTGCTTATATATCTGACCTGTTAATAAAACTATGTACTCAAATTATAAATTACTCAAAAGCAGGATTCTAATTTGTTTTTATAATGTTGAGCATATATTATAATATTGTAAACTTTAACTTGGGAGGTATTTTTAGAAACAAGACTTTCCTACTGTCTTTACACTTTCTTATTTAAATACTTATGGTTTCCATTTGTGCTTTCATTAATATCCAGTTTTCAGATTTCTGATATGTTTTCTCTGTAGATATGTGTTTGTAGACACACACAAACATACACTTCTTGGCTTGAATCTGAAGAAGCAAGAGTGATAGGGAACAAACGTGTTTGTAGCTACTCAGGACTTCTTTTAACATAGTACCCTGGGCTCTTGCCATCTGCAGGCTTGCCATTCATGGATTTGAGCATCTGCATATGGCAAGCCCCATTGCTCTAAATAATGATGTGTGCATACCGCTGCCATCGAGGACAATGGGACTTGAGGTCCTGTATTTTTCTTATCCACGGGGAAAGGGGGGAACAGATCCCCTGTTGGTTTGAAGGGGCTGACTGTACTGCAATGTATCAAGTATTATATTACAATATGGGAAACATGATGAATAAGGAAGGTACAGGCTGCAGCATGCAAACGTGAGTGTATTGGAAGGCTTATGCAAAGTTTTATATAAGTGCTTGCAAAAACAGAAAAACATTTCTGGATTTTCCCAGTTATTTCTCTTCTGCTGGGTTGAAAACCATGAGTAGAAGAAATTTTTTCTTTAATGGGCAACTGTGGAGGCTCTCATTGCCCCGCCAGAGAATTTGGGGGCAGCCTCCTCAACCCTCAATTACTTATACCCACATGTCCTTTAGGGGCCATGTTTTAGGCCCTCTTGGACCATTTTAGGCCCAAAGGGGCCTTTCTTCAAATTGGGAAGTGACCTGAAGTCACTTCTTGTTTATTTCCAGTTTTGAGAAAGGCCTATTCTGGGGCTTAAAAAATCCCACCCGCTGTAAATGGAGAAAAATGCCCCCCTTGCCTCCTAGAGGGCATTTTGGGGGATTTTTTTTTTAAATTAACCCTTGGTGCCCCTGAGGGCCACAAAAATGACACTGGGAGACACATGTAGCTGACAGCATGTATTTTGCCCACATCCAGGCTGATGAGTGTTTTATGCTTTATTCCATAACATTGCTCATTCAAATAGTTATTAGCAATATGTTTCTAAAAGTCCAATGCTATTTCTTTTCAGATACTAATCACAACCCCTCGGTGTTTTGAAGTCTTACTTCTGTTGCCTCATCACCAAGAATGGATCAGAAAGATGAGATATGTTATCCTTGATGAGGTATATGTTAAAATATCTTATTTTTATGTAACAAATGCTATTCAAAGAAGTATTACACAGTCTGACAATCAACATATATAAGAGTCTTTTTATACCAAAAAGTATAATGAATTTACTTAAAATGTCTATTTGTGTTATTAATGCTACTCTGCCTTGACCAAATGAACATTGCTTTGACCAAGTGAGTATAACTGATATGCAGAGAGATATTAATTCTCCAATCTGGAATGCTGATACAGCAGCCTTTCCCAGCCTTTTTACCCTAGAGCAGGGGTAGGCAACCTTTCCCCTTTAAGGGCCGAGGGACTTCAGCTCCCAGAAGCCTCAGCCATGTTGGCCAATAGTCCCATGTTAGCCAATAGCTGTTGGGATTCTGGGAGCTGAAGTCCCTCGGCCCTTAAAGGGGAAAGGTTGCCTACCCCTGCCCTAGAGGAACCCTTGAAATAGTTTTCAGGTCTCAGTGAGCCCCTGCACATAATTACTATATTTCCATCTCTTGTGGAACTCTTACTGCAACCTCTTATAGAACGCTAGGATTCCAAGTGATCCTAGTTGGGAAACCCTGATAGAGAGTAAAAGCTTTACCCATCTAGTAGCCTGTGCATATACTTGTATACCAGGGGTAGGCAACCTTTCCCCTTTAAGGGCCGAGGGACTTCAGCTCCCAGAAGCCTCAGCCATGTTGGCCAAGAGTCCCATGTTGGCCAATAGCTCCTGGGATTCTGGGAGCTGAAGTCCCTCGGCCCTTAAAGGGGAAAGGTTGCCTACCCCTGTTGTATACTAATTAATTCACTCGTGCAACAGTGGAGATGTAGCCATTATCCCATCCTCTGCTCTTCTGTTTTCTGGGTCGGGCTTGTTGTATCTTTCATCCAAGTAAAGGAAGTGGTGCTTTGCTTTCATATCAGATATAAATTCTCAAGGGATTTCTATTGGGGATGGATAATGGTGTAGTGAAACTGCATGTTTTTCCTAAAGAATGTCCCAGACAATACTACATTGTTATGCACTACACTGTTGTAGCACATATTCAAAGTTAAAAGGAACATATAGAAGGCAATGGTGGGGTGGTGGGTGGTGAATTGAGCTTGAAACTGTGAAGCAGAAATGTGGGATGGAAAATTTTCTAATTCTATAATTTTCTATGGAAAATTTTCTAGACCATATGTTTGTGTGTGTGCTTAGCCATATTTGTTGGGACTGTTGTACTGCAATCAAGCATGTTAGATGGGAAGTTCTAGTTATTCTTCTAAGGAGACAAGCATTGACAAAGACTAATGCTCAGAGAAACTGATTAACAAACAAATACACTACTAAGCTTCTTATGTTGTTGTTGTTGTTATTAATGTTTATTTATATAGTGCCATAAATTTGCATGGCACTTTACAGGAATCATCAAAACATCATATAACCTGCCAATGGTATACAATCTAAAAGTCATAACATATAAACTATACAAAATTAAGCAAGTTATGCAATTAAAATGAATATAAAACTGTAAAAAAAGATAATACATATAGTAAAATCTAAATTATAAAACAATATAACTAGAGTACTGAATTATTCCAAGAAGAAGGTCTTTAATCCAGATTTAAAGGTAGATAGAGAAGAGATAGTCTGCAGATGTTCAGAGATGCAGTTCCAGGAGTATGGTGCAGCAAGTGAAAAAAGGACAAACCTGAGCCAAGGAAGAAGAAACTGGCTGGGTAAGAAGTCCCAAGCTCCTGGACCACAAATCTCAAACAGGATGGTAAAATGAAATAAGACAGATTAGGGGGAGCTAGGTTTTGTAAACCTTTAAACATTAAGAGAAGAGACTTGTACCAAATCCCAAAAGTAATGGGTAGCCAGTGAAGAGATGCCAGAAGTTTCATGATCAAAGCAATGAGCTAAAAAGATAATCTTAGCAGCAGAATGTTGAATAGAAATCAGAAGACTAAGGTAGGACAATGGAAAACCAGTCAAAAGAAGATTGCAATAGTCAAGGTGGAAGATAACTAGAGCATGCACTAAGGTCTTAGCAGAAGAAGCTGATAGAAAAGGTCTAATTTTAGCAATATTATAAAGAAAAAATTGGCATGACCTGGCTACAGCCTGAATCTGAGGAGTGAAGGACAAAGAAGAATAAAATAATTAATCCAAGGCTATGTGCTTTCTTCACAGGATGAATGGGAACATTATTGACCTGATAAAGAATGTATATTGTAGAGTAGGTTTTGGAGGAAAGATGTGGAGTTCTGTCTTAGGCACGTTAAATTTTGGACGCCAATGAAGCATCCATGATGAGATAGCTGAGAGACATGATCTAACACATTGTTCGTTACCCAAAGAAAGTTCTGGAGTAGAAAAATATAACTGCCTATCATCAGCATAAAGATGATATTGAAAACCATATGAACTGATAAGATTACCAAGAGATAAGGTGTATAAAGAAAATAACAACAGGGCCAAAATGAAGCCCTGTGGAACCCCAACCGACAGAGGAAAAGGAGAAGATAACTGTGTTTCACAAAATCTCTTCTCAATCAGCTGCAACCATAAGAAGTCAAGACAAAGAGGCTACTTTAACTGCCCTGACTCAGTGCTAGGGAATCATGGGTGTCAGTGTGTGGATGATGGGTGTTGCAGTGAGGCTCTTTGACACCCAGCAGAGTCTGCAGAACAAGCTGGCTGCTGTGATCCACAGCCACTTTGTATCTCTTACCATCAACTAGCTCAGCTTTTCTTCTTCAGGCAATCCTGTCTTCCTCAGTTAAGAAGACGCATTGTAAAGTCTAAAAGTATAGTTTTATTAATGCATATAAAAGAAAATAAGATAACTAAGTAAAATCCATTGTGATGAACTTATCCAGTTCAGCTATGAGAGATTACATCTTTAGCAGATCCAAAAGCATAGGATCCCAACTTGTTGTTGTTGAAAGTTAAGAAGAAGGAACAAACACAAAGTGACTTTTGTCCAGCCCCCCAACTCCACCCTAGTGGGTTGTATCATGCACTGTGATTGGATGATCAGCCTTTGTCCAGCCCCTGATACATTCCCTAGCTGTGTGTGTGATCTCCCATGTGACCTGTCTCTAAGCAACCCATTGATGTCATTGTTTACCTTTTTGATTTCCTGCTTTCTCATAACAAAATCTGTGTCTGTGTGCTGTATACATGGGAAAGTTCGTGTTTACGTCTGTGCAACCATCTGGTGCTAGATTGAGTCCTGTTTACCACTTAAAACTTTCTCATGGAAAACTCCATACATCTTGTACATTTCCATCACTCTATATCCCATGCATAACTTGACAATGGGAACTGTATTTTATTGTGGCACCAGAGCTCTCTGACAGAGAAGGATCAATGTCTCAGAAAAAAAATACAATTCCCATGATTCCCTAGCACTGCGCCAGAAGAGTTAAAGTGGACTCAATTTGCA